CCTCACTGTGCCTGGTTGGAGACACTACAAGATATGGCTGCCAACCGATGTCAGTGGCGTTCTTGTTGTCAGTTTCTATCCAGATTGCCTGAGTGAATGTCTGGAGGTGTAGGCACCTCGGAATGATTGTGATAAGCTAGCACTAAGTCCCTCCCCCATCCACCTTCATTCTTTTCTTTACAATAAGGTTTTCAAATAAGTCATGGTTGTACGACAGTGAAGCATTGGTGTTGAACACTGATGTCATGCTGTCGATGATGGTGATGATGAACCGAAAGGAGAGAAACCCCCTACTTAGGTAGGCGTACGCATCCCCATTTGAATGCCGTGGCACACGCGTCAGTCGCTTCCACTCAATCCAGATTTTGGTCCAGATGCATGATTACAACCGATGCTGGTTTCAACTTTCGTCCAAAATTTCCTGAAAACCGATAATGTTTTGATCTAACGCCTGCATTCCGGATGGAAGTTTGGGTAGTGCAGTTAGTTTTTTCGTGACCTCACTGAGTGGGAAGCCAGCTGTTTACAAACGGAAATAATAGTCCACTTTCACTTCCCTAATGGACAACATCGCAACAGCAAAAGAATCTTTTCTAATACTTGTTTACTTTATTTTTCCACAATGTGCATCTGAATGAACACTGCGAATTATGCCCCATGTAGTGTAAGGCACTTCCCTTCTACGCGCTAACTTGGAGCTTCATGCTTTAAAGTATTGTGCAGTGAAAACGTTTCATGTAAGCTTATTTGGCTAACCTTGCGGGTAACGTCAGAAGTTGGATAAAATTTCCCTCCAAGCAATCTGAATTTCTCAGTTTTTTACTGACATCTAATGATAAGCTAAATGATTCGTTCTGCTAATCAGCCAGGGCTGTTAGCATGTTCTAAATATACTTACCAGCGCTTTATTTAGTTTCCCCCGTATCCGTAAAATATTACACAGCTGCCAATAAATCAGAGGAACCTACATTACTTTTTTTCAAAATAAAAGCGTACGAATTCTTCGTGTGAATGTCTAAAAGCATCACTAGTTTGCCAGCGAGTGCCAACATTTCTAATTCCACATTGTCCACTGTTCACTTTATTTGTGTAAAATAACCATTCGAGAAGTTGTAAACACGTTGCTTACCCTTGTTTGTTTGCTATTAAACAAGACGCCCAACTGTGTTCGTTGCTCGTTCTTCACGTTCGCATAACCCTTGCCTGCTACTACTTTGACCGTTGTTCTCTTGGCCTAATGTTGGACTTATGTGTATACGCTCATGTGAAACAGAATCGTTCCGTCCACTGATACTCTATTCTGACGTCAGTTGGTCATGTTTATCCGGGCTTATACACAGTCTTATATTTCCGGGAGAGAGTTCAAACAGATGAAGATGATCGGCAGTCACACGCAGTGTTCTGATCGGTGCACAGTATTGGGTGTGTGCACTAATTGGTGCCTTCACAAGGCGTATGGCGGAATGTTGTGAGAGCAGCAGCTAACTCAAATGAAATCAGGGAGAGTGGACGATTATGGTATGGTGAGAGTAGCGGTCCACGCACGGAAAATGCACCACTCCAGCACAGAGGCGTCATAGTAGACGAGATTCCTCATCTTTAAGGGTGCGTTTGGGCTCAAGCAGGCGCAAGGGTTAATATCGATCTGAATGGCGTTTAGCAGTTTTGGTAACTCGGTTCCAAGAACCGGGTTCTTGGAATGTACATTGTGACAGTGTTAATAAAGCTTACGTACGCTATATAAAAGCATTACCGTGTCACTCATCTATGTTCCTATCAATATGTCAAGCTCTATATTTTATTTTTTAGTCAAAAGTCGTTCGATTTCTTGGTGAAATGAAATGCCCTTTTAGGTGCGGTAGTGGCGTGACTGACGCTTAACAGGTAGTCGCTTCTGATTTGGTCCAACAGCACCGACGGCGCAGAAATCCTGAAGGCCCGCGTGACAACATGACGGTGGGTGCCAGTCAATCTTCATCTATGTGCAGAGCAGAAGGCACAGGCTACTGAGTTGAAAACTGTTTCAGACTGTTTGGGGTCGAGATGAGTACTTTTCCCTTCATGATCGAATGCTAAGCGTCCGTCACAAAATGCTCCCTGTTGATTTATTTTTAAGTGGCTTTCATAGGTTATTACCAAGTGTTTAGTGTAAATTGATGAGAACACACATGCTGACCAATCACAGGATCTTTCAACCATCACTGTTTTCGAATCGAGCTTTCGGTCGGGGAATGCAACTGTTCCTCCATCTGCAGTTGAGCATCTACGCAGTAACCAGCAGTAACGTCGACGACACATACCGCGGAGATTACCTAGCCAGCATGTGACACCTTTAAATCAAACGATATGTCAAACGATATGTTCAACATTAGGTCAGAAAGATGATGGTACCGGCGATCATACGGAATAGAAACGTGCGACTGACGTCCAAACAAGAACGAGACGCACTCAGAAATTTACAATAGCATGAAAAAATCATAATGCTACCGGCGGACAAAGAAACCATCATAATGGTAATGGACAAGTTAGGTTACATTGAGGGGATCAAATAACTGCCCAAACACTCGATGACCTACTAGTCCAACAGCAATGACCCAATTTAAAAACTCATCAATCGAATCAACACGATACTCAGGAAAATGCGAGCAATATACGGGATAACCAACCAAGAACGAAATACGGAATAAAACGTGCGACTGACGTCCAAACAAGAACGAGACGCACTCAGAAATTTACAATAGCATGAAAAAATCATAATGCTACCGGCGGACAAAGAAACCATCATAATGGTAATGGACAAGTTAGGTTACATTGAGGGGATCAAATAACTGCCCAAACACTCGATGACCTACTAGTCCAACAGCAATGACCCAATTTAAAAACTCATCAATCGAATCAACACGATACTCAGGAAAATGCGAGCAATATACGGGATAACCAACCAAGAACGAAGTGGAATGAAAGCCAATGAGACCAAAGTTGCACAATGCTACGAACTACCAAAGATATTCAAAGAAACAATACCATGATTAGTCATTCCGCTTCCGGAAACTCCATTTTACAACTTAGCAAAAGACTTGTGGAGAAGATTGGGACACTTACTGGATCGGAACCCACAACCAACAATGCTACCCAATTTATACACAAACTACAGAACTTCAGTATAGGAGAACCATGGAATCATTTGATGTCACATTACAGTTCACTCCACTTAATCGCAATATCACCAGAGAAACAGTAACAGAAATGCTTCGGAATCATTCAGACACGATAAGAACCATGAAACTCGAAGGTCTATGCAAACTATCGGACTTTTGTATGGATACGTACCTTAGTTTTGATGGACAAATATATCAACAGCTGAGAGGAACTCTGATGGGATATCCACTATCGCTGTGGAGGGAATACAATGACGAGCACGTGTTGTACTACCACTCATCAGTCCAAGGCTGTGAATCCGCTACATAGATGACACCTATGTCACCTGAAACGAGATTCAGTACACAATCAGCATGAACTGCTCAAAAATACGTCTGAAGCTACCAGACGAAGATATCAGAACTGAGAGGAACAACGGACCACCATTCTTGGACGTTTTAGTAAATAGAAATCGAGACTCTGGAAAGCTACGTATATCGTAAAGAGACATACGGATCAAATACTGCACTACGACAGCATTCATCCAGTGAATCACAAGAACGGTTGCGTTCAAACTTTTCCCAAGATGGCGGAGACACATTGCGACACCAGAGAATTAATGAAGAAGGAAGTAAACTATCTATTCAGAATAGTCCGGAACAGCGGAATTCGAGTGAATTTTATCAAGAGAAGCTTGAAGAAAGATATATCTCAACGACAGCAAAATAGGAATAAGCTACCAGAAGGATAGTTCTACATTATATCAAGTATATATCTGAGATCACCGCCAAATTACTTGTACTCACAAAGAAATCTCGGTAGCCCACAAACCGAATGCCACCTCAAGGAAAATGATCTCAAAACCGAAGGACAGCCAAGACAAGTTTTACGTTTGACATACTGAAAGAAACAAAACACAGCCGTCATGAGACATGATTCCTTTAACCAAGAAGGCCTCAAATTATATCTGGGGGACACAAAAATCTTGGAAGTGTGTTACTCCACGGTGGAGTTGATCAACCTTAACTTTGAATTATATCCAGGTTACTCACCACTACGTGCAAAGGACCAATATCCCAACCGGAATACTCAAGGAGAGCAGAATATCGGTTTAACAAAACAAGAAACCCATTGGAGTCTGATCAGCCAAGGTTACAAACTGGGACCTAGAAGGGTCTAGGACGGAGGTTACTCCAGCGTCGACCGCAGCATGAAACCAGGAAAGTCAAGCTCAAAGGTCGCATGGTTATCGATCGAGCAGGATGCAGGATACCAGAGCAACCCATGGAACAGTCCGACCGAACAACTAGTCGTGATTTAAAGTCAGCATATCAATACACGCACAACCCTATTCACCGCACAACCACTGACACATGGCTGCGTTCCCTAACTACGCACTGATGATGAGAAGTTTGCAATCAAATTGCTCAGCTCAACGAACAATCCAACGGTTAGTAATCAATATCCCTGAATTTTGTTGGAAAAAACTGCACTTTGCTTCTTACCTGGTCAGCTAATCCTTATAATACAAAGGGCTTGCCGCAGTGATGTTATTTTGGGTATACTGAAGGATGTAACTGCTGCATAAAGTTTGTACCATTTTACAGCTATGCTAATCTATTTTGGTCTGAAGCTAACGTCAACCCTCCGCATATTTGTTTTGTTGAACAACTTGTGAAGTAGACAGTCTAGTGCGCACAAGGAAGCGCTGAAGATCATAGCCAGTGGATGTGTTATTGTGCTGACAGTGCTCCTCATATTTCTCCGCAGACAGCATTGCCTAAAAATTTATTTTTTTCTTGCCTTACTGTGTCATGACAACTGAGTTGTACAGAAGTTGCACTTTGCGCATATTTTCTCAGACACGGAAGGAAACACTCAATTATTCCGAGTGATATCAATTACCGTGCTAATATTTGGGCACTGAAAACTCTCGGCTGCACGCACATACTCGCCTCAACAGCATCCGGTGGTTTGCAAGATTACACGCAACCTGGTGACTTCCTCATCCTAGATCAATTTCTGGACTTCTCTCGGGGACGTGAACAGACATTTTATGGCGGCAAGCGTCCGGTGTTTGAAGGTGTGTTACATACACCAATGGGAAAACCGTTCTGCGAAAAGACGCGCCAGGTAACTTTTCTGTTTGCCAGTTTTAGGGCACGTCAATCAATTAATTCCGGTTATGACGACATTGTCCTTCCTAGGGAAAACATGTTGAAAAAGGAAGGTGTCCGTACAACGAATTTCATTTACCAAAATTCATAACCCTAACCTGCTGACTAATTTTCTTTATTGGATAGGGTGGATGCCTATCAAAGTATGATATTTAGGAGGCGGAGTTAATTAGATGAATATTCTCACACAGCTCAGCTAATGTTTAACTCATGTCTCTAAAAAGTTTCAAGCGGCCTGATATCTGAAAATTTTCAAAGAAGTGTCACTGATGGAGGTATTTCATTCCAATTTTTATCTATGGTTTACTTACCATATATTTATGTGCTTGAATATCTTCCTACCCATGTATTTTATCAACTCTTAAGCTATGAAATACCACTTCTCCGATGACTACATTAACTCTAACTGTGCGTCGGGAGCAGCTCACATGTTGAGGTTCCCCATACGGAACTTTGAGTCACGCATAGGTTTAACGATCCCAAATATCGAAAGGATGAGTTGGGTTCGAAAATCTACGACACTCTTGGCACAAAGGCAAGCAGAGTTACTCAGCAAACCTCAGTTGTCCACGTTCTTGTGTCAACACGAGCACAAGTCTATCGCTGACCGGCACAGCACAGTGTGAAGGCTGGCACACCAAACTATAGCGCGCGGATACTTGGCTCTGTGGTGTTACAGTGGTGGGTTACGGTGATACTTTCCGAGAATGGTCTCGTGATTCTGATTGGCGGTGCGGTTAAACGGAACTTAGGACAGGACGAGCCCGGGCAGGCTGAGCAAACGGGGCACAAACGCACGGGTAAATAGTTCAGTTGCGCAATTCACACACGGACATATGCTAATATATCGGTGTCGGACGGGACGGTCTCTGCGGTTAGGTGAGTAGCGGGCACAGATGAGCAAAAGTGGAGATCAAAATCACATGGACGAAATAGGCAAATGAACGGGGGAATTATCGTGAGGTCAAGATAGATTCAGTATCCTATCTGTATGCTCTGAACACGCAGCTTAAGATGCAAAAGCGCTCATGTGAATCAACTGCCAGTGGATTTTGGGATGTTTTTGAACAGTCAAAGGGGCGAGGGTTTCTAGAGTATTGTGAGTTTATGTGATTCAATAAATAAGATGGGTAATCTGAAAGTTACTTCTGTGGGCTGAAATGTAAAAACCAACTAAAGTGACCTTGAAAACAATTATGCTCCTTACAAAGATTTGACTGATGAGCTTGGTAAACAATCGGTAGTTTAGCATACCAGTTCAGTGGTCTACTTAAAATGGCGTGATGATGTTCCCGTGCAGCGCATCTAGTGAAAATGAGTTGATATCAAAGGAAGCTAATCCACGTGATAACCCAAAACTTTGAATCCTCGGGATCTGAGATACGCTGCTCCACTGTCGAAGCCTATTGAAATATGAAAAGTAATAAGAAACCGGTCTTAGCTAAGAAAATCCTGCTTAACTCTTTGTCAATGCCAAGTTTCACTCTGTCTGATTAGCAGGAGTAAGGGACATTTGGGGATGGTCTACCCTGATAAATATGTACATTCCTTGTCACCTTCACTAACTCCACCCCCAACGGTATTTCAGGTGCTCATTGATGCAGCCAAAGCCACGTCGCTTACCATCTGTGACCGTGACCAAGGCCCACCTGCGGAAACTGTCCACCCTTGTGTTCACACACGTGGTTCCGCGGTCACGATTAATGGACCACGTTTCTCAACTCAGTTGGAATCCAAAATCTTTCGTAATTTTGGGATTGACATCGTGAACATGACCCTCGTTCCTGAGGTTTCGCTCGCCCGCGAGGCCGCAATGAGCTATGCATCAGTTGCTATAGTCACTGATTACGACTGTTGGAAACATGAGGAGCAGGAGGTTAGCGTTAGTTTCGAAGCGACAGTATTTCGGTTGTCCTTATTCGCCCTAGAGCCAATGTTTCGACAGTTTGGATTTATTCATTTTTCCACCAACGCTTATGGTATTACTGTGTTTACATTCGGACAGCCGTGACTGTGCTGATCTAGCATTTACTATTCCTCTGCCACTCCCAAGTAAATGTGTTTTAGAGGACCGTACTCCACAACAGTATATTATGGAAACCTCGCTACCAGTTTCGTCCAGGTAGTTTTCTCTGAGTTTCCACTGCCACCTATGCCTACTGTTTCTGATGTCCAGAATTGTTACGTTAACAATTAGCATTATTTCCGCTACAGACGAGGCGCCGAGGAATTTTTCCTCATTCTGTCCAATCCATCACGCCCAGAATCGAGCCCTGGCACATTCAGTTTTTCTGGTGGGCATGATGGACAAAACATCCTCCACCGTTGTGTCTGTATTTCGGCCTTAAAATCTTCACCTATCTACTCAATGAATTGCTCGCCTGCCTTGAAAAGTGACAAGCTTTCTTTTCATTTGTTGGCTCCCTTTGTTTCACTTAGTTGTTATGTCCTTGGAGTCAATTCTACCTGTTTTAGGGTTCAGTCTTTACAATGTTTGTCATCCTATGTCAGCAGTGGTAAATGACAAGTGTTTTGCATGTTTTCAGGTATGCGTTAGCACCGTTCTGGAAGCATTCAAGAAGTCCGCAGAAAAAGTGAAACAAATGCTCGTTAAAGCAGTTGAAATAATTGGAGAGCGTGATTGGACCGCAGTCATAGAAGCAAATGAGGTACGCACCAGTCATTATATTTAGATTTCAACATGAGTTTGGCCTACTAGTCTGCTTCCCATGCCAGTTCCCATGCCATTCAATGAGAATCCTAAGCTGATACGCTACATGATGTGAAACTCTCAAGGTTTTCAATGACCGATTTTTGTGTTCCCGAATGCTGCAAAATTCCGGTGATCTTATACATCGAGACCAGGCGCCACATCCCCACACTAACACTGTGTACTCAGTACATACAAATGTGAACTTGGCTTTGCTCCCAAGAATGAGTTTCTGCATATTTCAAAACGTCACTGCAGTAGTTCTGAATCCGACGATTCCTCAGGGTTAATTTTGGTGGCTCATGGTGGTGGATACTCCATCGTTAAAGATCACCAACCGTGAGTGTTACCTGGTCATCTGTTTGTTTGAATCACCTGACATTGACATCCTCACTTCATGGATCACTGGGATCAGCCGATAATTAACTACATTATCCACTAACTCGTCGTTAGTTTTTGACCGAACTTGTTGGAAGATGCGACTGAACATTTTACACCGGTACCGTATTTAATCGCTTCAAAATTCAGGCTTGTTTTCGGAAGTAAGTGAATGGGGAAATCTTGCCTCAGTACCATCAGTGAAGTGATTCCCCTACGTTACCGAATAATCGAATCAGACAAGCTGCCTGCGTTCAGGCGACCACTTTACAATTACTTGTTTGAGCATGCTTATTGGAACCTATGGAGTTACCAAGATCAAACTACTAAGTTGAACTGCCTAAATAGGTGTACAGAGTTATAGCCCAATCAGAAATTTACTGGTGACCTCACCTGACCCATAGCTGGCGTTCAAGACTTGCCGAATTTATGGATTTCTCAGTCATTTGTGATTCGAGGGGAATAATCGCGAAATCTCTCCTCACTTCTTGATTCACCCTTCGGAACGATTTACTTTTCAGTACAGAATATAGAAGTATATTCGTTAGATCTGTCGTCACTGCCGTAGTCAATCTGCTCTGAAATGTTTATGTAGTATTCTCGGACTGCCCTGTCAATGAAGCGATAATGAAGTATAACGCCTAAAGTGGGTAATGACTGATTGTTCAGCAAAATTTCGCACTATCCCGAGACAGTCAGATATGACCCAGTCACGTCCAAGCTATTGCTTTCAATGCATAGCTCCCTTCCCAACCTCCCCCCAGTTAACAGCCCTGTATTTACGCACATCCGATGCACAGCTAACTACCTCACCTCCATAAATCCTTGGTTAAAAAACTGTGGCAGCTACAACCACTGTACGACAATTGCGCGGTTCTTACAGCTGATAATGATGATGATGGTCCCAAGTAATTGCGGACAGTCATCCTTAGCTTGAAAATGAAAACATAAAGCAGCTAGATTGTCATCTTCAAATACTTCTGAGTTTGAAAATTGACATCCGCGTTTTACCACTAACGCCACAAAAGACTGCCACTTAGGTGGAATATCATCATCATCATCGTCCACCCTGACCGTATAATGTAGACAAAAGATAAGGAGACGCCTCGAAAACTCACTTTTCGTTAGTTAAAGGCAGATGTTGAACTGTGAATGAGTCATGTGCTTTTGATGTCAAACAGTATGGTGTCAAGAGAGTTTAGTTACATGGTCTTCGACGCAAGGAGCCATTTATGCAAGATAACGTTGCAGCTGATTATGCATGCCAAATTCAACTTAATGAGTGAGCTGATGTAACCTTGTACTCTTATATAATGGAGTCACCAAGTATGCCCACTCACGATCTGCTGTCTGGTTGCAAAACAACCACCAAAAATCTGAATCTCACAAAGAACAATGAAATCTCTCGTGGTGCAGTGTTTTGGATACCGTGTAGGCGCTGCGTCAACCATATCAGAAACAGTGGTGAGCTTTCACCCTTTAATAAAAACATTGAGTGTTAAATGGAACGAAATTCAGAGTGTGAAATTCGGTCCCGAATACAATCATTATGCGCGGGGTGAATTTGGATCCGACAACTGAATCAGCGAGTCTTGTGAATCAGTGAATTTGATCGTCAAAATTTTGAACCGCCATCTATTAAAATAATTTTCAGCCCATCCGCTCCGAAGTCCAACAATTCGTGGTTAGAAAACCAAAGCCAAAATGCAACCGAGTGTGCACATTAATTGGAAGATGAACCCAGGCTAGCGCCTTAGGTCAAAGGGTGGATTGAAATTTTCACCTATCTGAAAGATCGGCTTCATTTGACACGATTGTGTGTGGACACACACGAATAACTTAATATATTTAATCCCTAGATTTAAGGAGGTCCTAAGCATCACAGAAACCCTGAGTGAGTCTGAAGCCTTGAGGATTGGTCGGGGAATGGTGCAACCTTGAATAATGTCGTCTACTGCCAGCATAGTTTGTTGGAAGGGAAATTTTTTAGCGCTAGATCGACTGAAAAGCTATTTTGTTGCTAATTCCCATGGCTAGGTGATAGCTGAATGAATTGTTGAGAAAGCGATGCTGATGTTGATGGTGTTAACCTAGGTATCAGATGATACAATACACGTTGAAGTCAAAAAATATTTGTGACTATTAACCGACCGCCGAAATTCGGCCTTTTTCCACATTAGTTTGGAGTCGCACCTCCGAATAGTCTTCCGCGCTTATGTTTAATCGGATTTTTGAAAGCGGTTGGCTATCCAACCAGAAGCAAAGTAAAATGTAAGCTAAAATCGCATTCAGCAATAAAATTTTTTAGTATATATACAGCCTGGTTTAAATTAAGAAAATCATTACAATTTCTGTTGCTTCTGAATTACATGTGTGCTCACCTGTTTCTGTGCTCACTATCTTCCGTTCTTGGTTTTGCCCCTTCTGCACCAGAATTATACCTGAGAATTATTGTCAACAAAACCCTTTCTGATGACCAATTTCTGACTCAGCAGTATATCCGTCAGTGTTGAGATGACAGTGGTAACAATGTTTGGTGTTGTCTTCTTATAATGAGTTATACTTGAACTTTTCTTTCCGCAGCGTTTGGTTGCTACAAGTCGACAGGACCTTCTCCACACCTCGGACAGCAAAACTGGTTAACTGGTTGACAGGAACTCTGTCTTGCTTTTTCGTTTCACTTTTATGAGCGCCAGTAATCCACCGCAATTTGTACGGGAGTTTTCTGAGTGATATTCGTTTGCAGTACATAAAGATGTTATTTCGTTGTTAGCTTTTTTGCCATTGAAAAAACATAGTAAATGCACATTAGGCTTTTCTTTAATTGCATCTGTGCGCAACAGAGAAACGCGGCGTTTCTTTAATATTACACTAAATTCGCTCAGCCGAATAATGCCAAAACTGCATACTGATTCTACTAGATTCAGGCCGGGGTATTTTGCCTAAAGGTGGATTCTCGCCTCAGTCATTAGTACTAAATCCTTTGCCCCTTGAGAACAGTCTGAGTATGAAGCTCTCATCAAGCTGTCATCACGATTACCGCCTTCATCACCACCATTATCATCATCATCCTCATCTTCATCGCCACCGCAATTAGCGTCATCCGGCCCACTGCGTCATTGTTCAGAATCGTCCCTTTCCTTTCCTATAACCAGGATTGTTGAAGGTAATGTTCTAGAGGAACACAGTAAGACAGAAAGAGAGTGACCTTGTGCTAGCAACTGACAAGCGTTCCAAACTGTTCACAGCTGTCAGCGATCAGTAGCCACATCTTGCAGCGCCCATAGTCAAGAACATATTATCTCACCATGCAGCCATTGGTGCTCTTCCTACATCCTAACCTTACTAACCAAAAAGTACCAAGAGTTCTCACTCTTGTTTAGACCGAGGCCGCTTTTTGAACATGTCACCTTGTCATTCTTCTACTCTAAGCACTAGAATAATTATTACTAAAACACTGTGATCACTTTGAGATAGACTTAGACTATTTTGGGCTGTGTTGCGGGACAATGCACGAGAACTAGTTGAAATCCGTTAACCAGATCACATCTACAATTGAGTAGTAGAAATGCTGAATAGTGGTTATCCATTTAAAAGGGACAGAATGACCGCTAACATTTAGCAACTGTAAAAATCAGTCCCGCTTCCCCACATCTTGTAACGGTTTCTGATTATTGTTGATATGTTGTGCGCTCTGGGCTTTGTAGTCCCGTGAAGCGATTTGCGAAGTTTTGTCAGAGCGGCTCCCAACGTGCCATCTATTCAGGGGTGCAACTGGGTTTGCTCGTAATTTTTCAATGATGTAATGGAGTCGTATTATTAGACATAATGAGAAGGCTATTTGTGTGCAACAGTCAAATTTTTCTTGTCTTGAACTTGAGGGACTATAGCAGCTGGCGTAAACGCTTTTTATTATATCGTACTCGATATGAGTGTCAAGTTTCATGGATAGCTGAGTGGAGCGGGTTTTCGATGTCCAGCACGGTAACACAGAGGAGTTCAAAAATGAAGGTTTACTCAGCCTCCGCGCTAATACATGTCAGATGGAGTAAACTAACAGCGTTTGTCTGGGCACGGAAAACCAAGTAGAATTTCATAAAGGTGACCGAACTTGTGTCTAATTCATGTCTAATTGTGAAAACATCAGGGATATTTGTTTCCTTTAAGTAAATTGTACAGTTACCACTCGTAAGTAACGCGCCTGCCGATCTAGTGTTGTACTCCGGTTGTCTGGAACAGTCGGACTGATAGCATTATGAAAAACGCACTGCTAGTGACCTTCAGTTCTCGTTACGTCACCATGTCTGATTCACTGGTAGGCCACCTCAGATCAGGTCACTTAGTTTGGAAGTGGTGAGCCGAAATTAAGACTATATTTCACTGCTTTAACTTACAAAATGCCGTATACCTATGCGAAGTAGAATAACATGCAGCCGCAGACTACTGAATGTTTATATAACAATTATGGTAAGCTGTCTGTGACCTGAGCAGCTGATATTTGGTGTATAACATGCGCGTCTGACGCTGGACAAACATAGGGCATACCGAAAAGTCAATCTGGTTGCCCAAACGAGCAGAAAAAATTATATCAAGCAGGTGGTCGAGGATTCTGACGAATGATTGCTAGTAGATGCATTTCAATGGACTATTTTATTTAAGCCAGCTTTTGACGTGTTAACAATTAAATAGTGGTCAAAAATAATATTGATGTTTTAGTATAGTGTACAGAAAACTCCAGTGAAAGCTTTATGTAGTAGTAGCGTGAAATTTTAAAAAGTTATTTCTTATTCTCTTTGTGAAGCCTGCACTTATGTAGTATCCCTTTTGCATAGAGGTGGGTCACAATTTCTATGAAAGCACTATGGCGATTTTTCAAGGATCAATGGGGTTTTTGTTTTCTGAGGTTACTGTTCAATCCATTACTGTCACGTTACATTCAAACAAAGGGTAGATTTTCAGTATTTGACCGAAATCATTTACTGTAGTCATTGACAGATGCACTTCTTTGAAGAAATGACTTCAAAGTAATGACTTCGGTGGTTATCAGATTTAGCGTCGATGGTGTGCACTCTCGCGATGCAGCCAGTATTTTAAACAAGATTAAAAAATCAGTGTTTTCAAAATTGAAAACTCTTTGAATGTTGCTCACACCTCCTGCGGGGGGTTTTCTTCCCATGAAATGTATAACGAAAGGATTGTGTACATCAACAAAATTGCAGTTGAGATAACCGCTGTATTGTAGTGTTCAGACTAAAATTCGGAAGGTTGATGGTATGAAGCTGTTGGATGATCCGCATACTGATCCCGACCAGGTTCTTCAGAATGAGCCTCCGGATCCATGTACAAATTTGGGGTGGGAATCAAGGTGAATGCAAAGCAAAAACATACGCCTCATAACTTCATGCGTAAATTCATTTGCCATTTAACGGTCAAGATAAGACACACTTACGGCAATGAAGCATCGGTATTGCACACTCATGTCATGATGATGATGATGATGATGATGATGATGATGATGATGATGATGATGATGATGATGATGATGGTGACAAGATGCACTGGCAAGAGCCCACAGGAATGGTTGATAGTGTCAAGCGACGGGACGGTCTATGGTAAACTAAACTTCATATTATATAGGTTTTTGGTCCTAACCTACGGCAGTTCCCCTGGATAGGGTATGAGAGGAAGTTGTTCACCAGAACCAAACTCCTTTATTTGTGAGATTTCTGCGTATGAACAAGCATGCAGAACATGATTGAACGGTATCAGTTTTCTTTATACCTAACGCTCCTCATACAGTTATACACTAAGTCCAATGCTGGGTGAGATGTCAACAGTGCGACGTCCAGCCAGCAAGTTATACCCTTTCAGTGTTGTTTGAGCTGTGAATTTCGAAGCGAACTAATGTCTCCAATCAATTGGAAAAAGTTTGGAACAGACTGAGAAGTCATCGTTTCGGAAGAGCTTGGTGAACAATCGGTAGTTTCGCTTTTGACACGGAAGCTTCACCAGGTCAAGTGAACGGGTCACCAAATTGACCAGGTTATAGGACAGACGGGGAACCAATCAGTAAGCGCTTTTCAGATTATCACACTAGATCAGTGTTGAGTGTCAATTAACGGCTCTTGTCGGCTGTTGTGGTTGTCAAAATCTTGAATTGATGGGTTAGAGGAGTTCCAGATTAGTTCTGATCGCTTTTTGTACCTTAATCTTCCACTCCAAGGTGCTTCACTTGATGATTCACCTCGGGTACCGCTGGTAGATTTTTCTTGATCTTCGTGGGCATGTGAATGTTGGGACAATTTAGTTGAGGGGAGGGGAGGTGCGTAAGGTTAAGTGGAATCCAGATGATGACCGCACACCAACATGTGTCAGCTCGACTGATCCAGAACCGTCCTCCACACGCTTGCCAGTTCTCCACACGGTTGACAGCTCCACGCCTTCTCTGCTGTTAACACTGGGATGCTTGGGGATTTATACCGCCTCGGCAATCTGTCTCTGTGACGTGGACCGTAGTCCTCGCCTCAAAACCTCAACATTTTCTATTTTTTGTCCCGTGTCCAGTGCGTGTTCCGCGATTGGCCAAGTCTTCAGTAATGCTTGATATTCATCTGCGTTTCTCGATGGCCTGTTTATTTCTCTACTATGGCCTCCGATTCTGATGTGTAGTTCCCTGGTCGTCCGTCCTATATTGACCTAGGTGCAGTCGTTACATTTAATTTTGTAGACACACTCCTTGGTTCTGTTTGCTGGGAGGCGATCCTTCGACTGCACCAATACAGAATGTAGAGTGTTCCCCCTCTGGAATGCTACTCTTATGTTAGCCTTGTTCTGGATTTTTCGAAGGCGCGTGTAAGGCCCTGTAAGTCGTGCAAGGGCCCTGTGCATAGAAGAAGCTGATCGGACAGCTACCCAAGCTGAAGTACCGAACAAACTTCGGGGTGGTAGATATCCAGCTAGCTTGATTAGGCGTCGATTGCGAAGGATGTAGGCACCCGTAGCGAAACCCAACAGGGAATGGATCAGGACTGCTGTTATCCCATGAAAACCAACCACCCATGAAAACCGGGGACATCGGAGGTCGTTCGAAGGTCATTGTTGGATGCAACAGCCAAAACTGCTTCTGTGTTACGTGAGGAGATCAGGAGTGGATTTAGAAAACGATGACAGGAAAAGGTGGTAAACTAGATGGTGTATGTGATTCTTTTCATTGATTCGTTGTTGAGTAAAGCAGTCACCTGACGACGATAAATGTATTGATAAAAGAATATTAGAATGAGCCACTAGTAAAATGTCTGGAAGTCTCCGGTTTAGGAAGACTTTTCTCCGTTTCCATTGTCGTTTTTTGGCTTGATATTTTCTATAAATAAATATAAGCATTCTGAACTATATGCACTCAGAACCATAACTTGGGTAACTGAATTACCGGAAATCATGTCTCGTCCAGGAATCACTGGGGAAATTAACCTGAGTCTTCTTAATTTTTGGCCACAGGTCTGATACAGACAACTCATGAATGCCAGGATACATGTCCTTTCCTCCATCAGAAATATCAAAGTATGAACTGATCCCTGTGCAACATTCTGGGTTCCTGAAGCACAGACTAAAAGGTTCTGCTTACGGAGAGATAGCACTACTAGTGTACAAAACTAGCTAATAACAAATTCGTTGAGCTCTTTGGTACAAACACGCCTGAGTGAATGTCTGGAGGTGTAGGCACCTCGGAATGATTGTGATAAGCTAGCACTAAGTCCCTCCCCCATCCACCTTCATTCTTTTCTTTACAATAAGGTTTTCAAATAA